GGCTGTGGACAGAGTGAACAGTTCCGGGCATCTATAGAGCACTCTTTGGGTCTTTCTTTCGGAACTGACCAGCACACGTACATATGCAAATCATCAAGGATAAAGCAAAACATATGAAAAAGAGACAGCAAAACAGTAACCTAAATGCACACATGGTCTACAAATAGCTTTTGTTGTGAGCAGTGGGAGTAGAAATGTCTTAATACTAAGTAAGACCTAAACTAAGGTAGTGTGTTGCTGGTCCTATTCATCAAAGTTGAAATAGGCTTAAGAATATCAGTGTATTTTCAAATAGTATAACTGCATACCTGAACATGGCTGAAAACAATTTTAAACAAACATAAAAATATCCTTCACTTATGAAGTAAAAAATTACCACATATTCGAAGTAGGAAATATGACTCACTATAGGGGGGAAAATAAACAGAAACAGAAATTAAGGATAAAGGCCCTCGATGAGATTAATAGCACATTTGATACTGCAAAAGAAATTATTATTATGGGCTGGTGAGATGGCTTTGCAGACTAAAGCGCAGGCAAGCTTAGGCAAGCTCAGGGACGGTGGTCCGATACCCAGCACCACACGCTGTGCAGGCCCCGCCCCCAGGGTGGGCTGAACCTGGCAGAGTCTGCGTGTGGTGGTGGAAAGGAAAAACTACTGCTTGAGATATATTAGTTCCACAGCTCGCTCATGCTTCAGGCATTTTTTTCTAGTCTCTTATTTTCATTTTTCAGTCTTTTTTTCTGTTTTGTTTTGAATAGTTTCTATTTTTTTGTCTTCAAATTTAATAATTTCTCTTTCTTAACGTATTTGATTGTTGCAGGGTCTAACTATGCAGCTTGGACTCGTGGTGATCCTCCTTTTTTCTTTTTTTGTATTTTAGGGAAGAGTCTATAGGGTGTTTAGGGTCTCACTATTAGATCAGACTCTAGTGATCCTCCTGTTTTCAATCTCCCAAGCGCTGGGATTACAGGTGTGTGCCACCAAGCCCAGTCGCAATCACCTTCTCAGCATGCTCCAGGTGCAGGGCCAGCACGGCATGCAGGGGGACCGAACCCTGGTCCCCGTGTCTGTCTAAGCAGGCGCTTTAATCCACTGAGCTATTTTGCCGGCCCTGACAGATCATTTTGATATGAAAAAGTTGAGCCAACAGCCCAGCGGTAGATAAGATTATAAATCTTCAGGTAGAAGGAAAATGATCTTGAAAAAGGGTGTACACACACACACACACACACACACACACACACAAACACCCCAGTGGAAATGGTAAATAATGGGTAAATACAATATGCTATAACTTAATTTTTATTGCAAAGATCTTCTTAGAATTTTTGACTGTTTAAAAATAGCAACAACTAAACAGTGAAGACAAATGCAGAAGTAAAATAGATCACAACACTACCACTAAAGCCTTGGAGAAGCAGCACGACATCACACAACACGGAAACTGCAATTTTCTTAAAATACAGTTGTGGGAGAGTTGAGATACTACTCATTTATAGACTCTTGTCCCAAAGACTACTGTTCATCCCCAGTCCTGGTGAGCTTAAAATTCTCTTTTTACTAATTATGTTACATAGTCTGTTTATATTTATCTCATCCTGATTTAATACTCAAACTTTGAAGAATAAGAGTTTCTAAATTTCAGCTCTTTGTCAGACAGTATTCTATACACATATTAAAAAATTAGTAGCAGTGCTCTGTAGTAGGTTTGGATCAATGTAGTACCTTTTAATTAAAATAATTTGATTTTCTTTCTTAGGTTCATTCTATTTATTAAAATAATGTTTTCCTTTAGTACTTTATTACTATAATTTTTTATCTAAATAGTTTTAAAAGGTTCCTAAGGTACCAAATGAATTTGCTCATATTGACTTTTCATCTTTATTAAGGAAAGCATACACAGTTTAATGGGTAATTTAATCTATTTCCTTACTGAAATATACTTTATAGGGCATACATCCAGAACAGTATCTTCAGGACTGTACACTTATAAATTTGATAAGGATCGATGTTTAAGAATTACACTGAAACATGGAGGATTTGCAATAGGGAATTTTGTAAAAATAAGAAGCAAATACATATTTTGCATATTTGAGTTTGTGCATTAGAGTACATCTTTGCTAATAATCAGATAGGAAAGTTAGGGTTTCCAAAATGATAGCATACTCCAAAACTATATTTAGAAAACAATATATTAAAAAAAGCATATTAAGACTTCTGCAAAAGAGTATCAATAGTATAAATATGTTGATTGCCAAATGTACACATTTATCATTACCAAATTATATTTCTGAAGTCCTACTTAAAAAATAATGTCAGGCTGGGGAGATGGCTCAGTAGAATAAGCACTTGCCTGGCAAGTGCAAGGTCCTGAGTTCAATCCCCGGTTCCGCAAAAAAAGAAAAAAAAGAAAAATAATGTGAAACTTTGTAAATTTAACATGGCTTAAAGTACATAACAAAAAAGAAATAAAAACTTCTTCAGAAAAGTTATTCTAGTAAAAGGATTACAAAAAGTTTTGTAACTTGAGATGCTATTCTGGAATGTATGCTACTAGTTCAATATGCAAGCTCCAACTTACCAAATGTTTAAAATATTTGAGTTTCTACAACAGTGCCAAAATAAGCCACAGCTTTTCTAGAAATGACATATTCAGCTAAGCATGAGCAATAAACATGTTTCAGTCATTTCACAGATTTGTTTAAAAGCTTCAGAAACCATGTACATTTTTAATAAAACACAAACACAATGCTGAAATCCCTGAAGCCTAAGAGCTGACTTACAAATTAATGTTTTAAAAAGGCAAATGTAATTTTGTGTGTCTGTATATATGAATAGATGGGTAGGCTAGCTGTAAATAGTAATTACCAGGAACATAATAATGTCTGTGAAAACTCGGATTTCCATTCAAACCACAGGTGAGAAGACAAAATGTATTATGGCTTTCATAAAATTATATAATGCCTTATTAATCATAAGTATTTGCAAGGAAAACTGCATAATTATGACCTTTAAAAATGCTACTTGTAAAAGTGTATTCCTCTACAACTGTATGTATTATTAAAACTACAAATCCTTCATAATTTTAACTTATTTGTGAAATAAACATTCTATCAGTTAGTGACCTGATTAAAAATACTTCAGATCATTCATTTATTTGTGATTCTGAGGATCAAACCTAGGTCCCCATGTATACTACGCATGCATTCTGCCACAGAGCTATGCCTGCAGCCCTCTTCTGTTTTGGGAAAAAGAAACCTTCAAGGGATGTTTATCATTGAAAAAAGTGTGTAAATTACTCTACAAAGCATGTTAGCTGTTTCAGATAACTTTAAACATAATGGCTTACTTATAAAAGTACAATGAGAATCCTCATAGATTAATAATGAATAATGTTGGTGTAACTGCCTTCTTAGTAGCCAATAATTTGTCTTATAACTTTAAAAAAAATCTCTAAAAGTTGTTGTAGGAGGGAGAGTGAGCTTCAAAGATTAGACAACCACTGTCAGGTTTTAGCATTAGGCAAAATCAAAAACAGCTTAAAGCAGCTCAACGTTATATTCTAGTGAAGGCTAAGGTATAGCGTACAACTACTCTACCCCAGAGAGAGGTGGTGATGATAGGATGATGTGTATAGATGCGGTGCATATTATTGTACTTCACAGGAAGAAATGAGCAGTCTTTAGATTGGGGACTCTCATGCATGCATATAATATGCATGGTAAAATAATAACAGAAATCATAAGACTTAAAGTGTCTACTTTTTTCCCCCCACAGAAAAGTTTGGAGGCTTGTAGTTGCACAGAGTGTAGTTGTAAGAATTTAGTTCTAATTCTAGCCAGTCCTTGGGAAGTTCTAAGATGTTCTGAGTCTGTCTCCTCATCTACAGAATAAATGCAATTAATAGTAACAACACTAGTACTAAAATCCTTGGAATTACTGTTATATGGTTTACACAATGGTTTATTACTATTATATGATTGTTTATAGGATCAAGCTTCTAAAGAAACAAAAAATGTGTCTGTAAATCGATGGTTAAAGATGTTAGGATTGCCTTTTCTGTCTTTCCTCTGAATTACCTATCTTTTTTTCTTACAAGAAATGGATTGTTAGGTTACTTAGTAATGAGACCCTATGATGTGAAAGCCAACCCAAAGCGACATCTCAGCAAAGCAGAGCGCTTCTGAAGCTGCACCATTACTGAACATGCAGCAAACTAATTTTCAGTAAGGTTATGTTTTCATATAAAAATAGACTGCAGAATCTGAAATACTGATAGTGGACATTTTTAAGTGTAAGAAATCAATTAAGTCAATATATGGCTGTAATAGTTTGCCTTTGTAATTTTATAGACAACTCTTGTTCAAAAAGATGGGATGTATTTTGGGAAATTAACTATACTTAAAAAATGTTGCATAATTAACTATACTTAAAAAATGTTGCATAATTAACTATACTTAAAAAATGTTGCATATTAGAATTATAAGTTTTATTTTATAATATATTCTACAAAAGTTTTCCATATTGATTACATGATTCAGTTCCTCTAATTGGACCAGTTAGGTGTAGGAAGAGACTGTAAAGGGTTTGGAATTGGAAAGTGTTTGAATTTGGAAATTGTGTTTTTATAGTGCTCTTTGTATGTTCTAAAACCCTAGACAAAACTCAAGAAAAGTTTGTCTGTTCTTCAACACTAAACTGAAAGCTGGGTCTAGTAGTACACACCTGTAATGCCAGCACTTGAGAGGCTGAGGTAGGACTGCCACAAGCTTGAGGCCAGCCTGGGCTGCATAGTTACTTCAGGGGCAGGCTGAACATTCAAGTTTATTTATGATTTATTTTAAAAGAGTTCAGGAATAGGGGCCGGGGAGATGGCTCAGTGGAATAAGCGCTTCCCGGGCAAGTGCATGGCCTGAGTTCAATCCCCGGTTCTGAAAAAAAAAAAAAAAAAAAAAAAAAAGGGGGGGTTCAGGAATGGATTATTCTGCAATGAGAGCTGCTTTTCTCTACTTACCTCCATCTTCAGGAGGGTACAAAGGAACTGTGCATACACACAGGGAGCTACTAGGGACTCCAAGTAGAGCACAGAGACAAGACTACGTATGACCAAGGTGTAATGCATTTCTATACTTACACTGTCACTGGTGTACAAGAGGCGAAAGGATTAGAAAGTGAATCCAGTTAGTTTTTAACCCCTGTCCATCCTTATTTTTAATTCTTACATTTAAAAAATCATTAAAAGCAGGCAATGTGAGTAAATTCCATATTTGGATGCAAAAAGATGAGTCTAACTGCCAGCCAGTTTAATGGATAGAGATTTAATAATGAAAAAAATGCATGCATGAGGTGTATCTTTTGTTACTTTTGACAAAGCACCTCCAAATTTCCTGCAAAGTAAAATACATGAGATAATTTCTAATTGTAGACAAAAGAATAACTCAATCAATTGTCCTTAATACATTTATCCTGAGAACAGGCAGTAGTAGATAATTTAGTATAATCTTAAAGATGAATTAAAAATTCATGAATTTGTAAAAAATTTCATTTGGCTAAGTGTGTTCACTGATTCATTCTTTGCTTGTCTATTTCAACTTGCTCCAGGCATAGTTATTTGCTATTGGTCCCTCACCTGATCCACGTAACAAAGGAAGGAATGTTTGTATAGCAAAATACCTAACATCTCAGATTTATTCATATCATTACATGCTTTAACTATTTTGTTGCCTTTTACATAAAATTAAAAAATTTGGTAACCTGAACCAAACTGCAGGTTAACTTTTTCTTATGTCCTCATATTGTACATTACAGTTTAATGGTATATTATACATTGCATTCTCTTCCTCTACAACAGAACTTCATATCTAAAAGAAAGATAACAAGAATAATGAACAAATTTGACGATTTCTTGCCTTTTAGAATTCAGACGTACTGGCACATGCTAACTTTCAAGCCCGAAGTGTCCCAGACTATTTGACAGAAACTTGGCAATTTCTTCAGCTTAAGTGGAGCTTAAATAATCACCAAGGCTCAACATTACAAAAATACTGACAATATGAATTTATAAGTGAGCATTAACAATCTTTTCTTTTTATTGAAAAGTCTGTATTATTTTCAGGTGAAATGAAAATCATGACTTGAATGTAATTTTAACATTCTAAACTCTTATGAAAGCAAATTATATATTTTATTGGTGGCATCTATACTTAATGATCTTGAATGCTAAGAAAGATGACATATATATATATATATATATATATATATATATATATATATAAAGGAAGACTGCACACTCTCATGACTGAATCTTTCTCATCGGTTAAGAAATATACTCTATATTGGAAATAGCATTTATTTGAAGTTTTGACCTAACACAGTGGATTAAGACTTAGACAATATTTACTTTGCTGCACTTTGATTCAGAAAGGACCATATGTGAAGATACTATCTTGACCAACTTTGCTATATATCTACAATGGTCTTACAGTACAAAGATTTACATTAAACATACTGAGATACAAAATAGTTACAAACAAATTGCAACCTTATAGCTACCCATTGGTAAAAGTTAATATATTTGGATAAATAACTCAAGTCAGCAGCAAAGTGGTTAAACATTTGTGATTTGATTTTATCTCAGCTTGGAATGTGGTTGGAGTGTCCCACTTCTAACAACTGTTTGCTAAGTTAAGGCTTTTAGTGTTTACACAGTGCTGAATGAGGCAGCCTGGTCACCAGATGTGATCTCTTCCCCCAGATTGTTGCTTTGCAGTCAGATCACTGTCCTCATGGTTCCTGTTCCAACCTTTTTCCTCAAGACATCCACCAGCCTTTCCAGCCTAAAATGGGAAAAGGGAGCAGGAGGGAAGGGGCAGGGTGGGAGTGGGGAGAAAAGTGCAAATATTATCAGGAATGTTTGGGCAGAAAAGGGACAGTATTAGCCCATGACCAAGCAGTGTTGGTAGGCATATTAAGAAACAAAGCAGTACTGTGAATGAGAGACATTCATACTGAATATGCAAGCACTTGGGCTTTAAAAAGCCAGCAACAACACCAACTTCAAATACATTATATCAATGTTAACTGCTACACAAAATAATATAGGTCACTCATTTAAATACATTTCCCTACTTGCATAAACACTGGGAATGAACCCTTTACAGTGCAGTGATAAAACAGCATACTAAGTGTAGATCAACTTCCAACTGCTTTTTTCATAAGAGAGCCACATATACAGAAATATTAGCAATCATACTTCTTATATAGATAAACAAGTGACCCTTTGGTTCATATGGTGAATAACTTATGGATTTAATTTATCCTTTTTCAGAGTCAGTTGATGAAACCAAAAATAGGAATTAGATAGGAAAAAATTATGTTCCAATAACACTATAATAATTTAAATATATACAAATGACTGGACATATATACCATTCTGTACTACATTAATAAACTTCCTATTTTTGAGTAGTGCAAGCTAGGAATTACTATAAAGGTTTTATTTTCAATAAAAATTATATATATTTTAGTAAATTAAACTCCATGAAGGAAAGAGAGTCAAACGTTCAGAAGTTTGCTCTGCAGTGGTCTTAGGCTCCTCTGTGTGTGGGAGATCACATTTGTGTGGCTCAGGGAGAGCTTTGCCTAACAAAAGTGATGGAATCAGACTATTAATTGGCTTTCTTCTTTCTTCTTTTGTTTTCTGAACAACAAGCATAAAACCTCAACTGAAAGTTTCTCTTGATGCTACACACAGACAGGTCTTCCTCCCAAGTGAAAATCATGCCCCAGAGTTTTCATATATACAACCTGCCCTCCTCAAAGACTGATGAGTGGCAGTCTAGTCTGCTCCGGTTTGCCTCATTTATATGGATCCATGCATGAGAGTCCTTTGCAAATAAACACAGCACAGAGCTAGACACCAAAGGAATGAGGGAGGGCATCCTTAGTGTCACACACACTCGTTTACACTACTGGGGACTTTCAGGAAAGAATGGACAAATTAACTGCACACAATTGTAAAATCTAGCTCGCTTATTGGCCAAACCTGCATGTAATAAGAATTTGTTAACAGAAAACAGAACTATGAAACAAAATCTTTAAGAAATATAATGATAATCTTAAAAGGTACATCTTTTTTATTTTTATTTTTATTTTTTTAATTTTTCAACAAATAATACACTGCATATATTCTTCTTAGTGGTTAATTGCTGTACAAGATGCGGACTTGTGATCCTATTTACAAACACCATTAGAACAAATCATTCTATTCATTAACAGAATGTAACTATATATCTATCCCAACCACTTTGAATACACAGATACAAAATGGACATTCATCTGTATACCCCATTTTTTCTAAGTTCCGTTATTGAATATTATAGGTTAAACTCAGCAAAATATTCTAAAAGAGTCCAGTAGCCCATAATAGCATTGGGTCTTCTGTTTAACTGGCAATGTCAGAAATTATTGACCTGAGTCCCCCACAGCTCAACTTAACAGCATGGCTTTATTTCTTATAATTTCGTCTTCATACTTTTCTGCTGGATGGTTAAGACCAAGGTAAAGCAGGACCTGTGCAACAAGAGTTGTAGCTTTTTGGTCTGAGAAGGTCAGTGAAATGCCCTCAGGTTTGTCCTGAGATCCTGTACCTCAGATTGTAGAACCTTTATCAGTGCAGCCATGTGGATGAGTCACGGCCAATACTTGGCCAATGTGCTCTCTGTGAAAGCCTGAGAGAGTGTCTTCTCCCCATGTGACTCTCCTTAAGCCCACTCTATGTCATCGATCACTTTCCTCTTTGGCCCCATAATCTTCTTGATCAGAAAATTTGGGACACTACCAAGAAAAGGCATATCTTGCCTAAACTTATTCTATCTGGATGAAACAGTCTGGGGGTACAAATACCTGAACGAGAAGATTCATAAGAAAATTCATTGCATTCACAGATTAACCTGTGCTAGTTGGGCTTTCTCTAGTGGTCAAAACGAGTTCCATTTATGCTAGTATGGTTAATCAGAATATTGAATTCCTTTAGGCAGAGTTTTATTAACCAAAATTTTAATATGAATTATACATAGTATAAATTTATGCTTCATATTTCCTGCCACACTCTGATACTAACTTAAATTGGTAACAAATAGTTTGCAGTAAAAATTTTGAAGCCATTAAAAGATTTATTTGTATAAGAACCAGAAAATGTTGCTTTCAAGTTGGCTAAATACATCCTTCCTCAATAATACGACTTACTTTATTAATAAACTTCCTCATAGTATAAAAATAAATTCTACTTTATGTAGTTAGTATTACTATGGCTTCAAACTCAGAATCCTAAATCAACGATGAGCCTATGAATAAACATTGTGCTTGTTTAGACTTCTTTATAGATAGATTCATTTTACATTTATTTCCTTTTTATGCATCAGGGCATCTTTCCATTTATAATTCCTATTTTGCTGAAGTAAGAGGTTAAGAGGAAATACTTAAATATCATGTTTTGCAATGCCTCTACTATATTTCAAGAATTGTTAGATAAACCACATTCTCAGTTTATCCAAGTTGAATGATTTATGAAAATTTGATCTTTAACATGAGAAAAAATGCCCATTACTTAGTTTTTCAAAAGCTTACTGACTTCTGAAACACAATGAGGCAGCTACTCCTTGCTATACAGAAGAGAATCCGCCTGCCAAACAGAGGCTGTGCCAACAGGAAGGCAGAAGCATGTGTCTACTGAAGCACCGTGCAGGATCTGCCTGGAAGGTATTCTTTACTGCCCAAGTCAATAATATCCTTAAAACATTTTGGACCTCACTGAGTGTATTACATAATGATGTCTCCCCAACGGCTTCATGAAGTAAGGTGAGGACTAGGATTTCTTCATTTTCAATATGAAGAAATTAAAGCACTTATACAAATGCTGAGGTAAAGCAGTGCAAACACATAAGGTTCTGAGGCAAAACTGACAAAAGTGGCCTTGTTCTCCTTGTTTCCAGTTCAGAGCTGTTTCCATTACAGTTTGCATTACCAGTGACCTACAGGTTCCAGATTAATTGATTGTGTTCTAGTCCTATCATTAAAACTTTTTTCTCAATTCTTAAGTCAGGTTAGGAAAGTATTTGTTGACATATTTCTCTTGCTATGGTAGTAAGAACACATTATAAGAAAGTAAATTCATGACACTGCAGACACTATTAAATAGTTATCTTATTTACTATGATGCTTTTGTATCATCTTGAAAACTAAATTTACAGGTATATTTTATGTAGAAATACTATTTTTCAACCAATCTTTAATATTTTATTTTCTATTTTTGATTATCTAATATTCATTGAGTGTTTATAAAAAGCATCAAAATTTTCACCATTGGCCGGCCAAATAGCTCAGGGGATTAAAGCACCTGCTTATGCAGATGCAGGGGCAGGGAGTTCAATTCCCAGGCCTGCAGTGCTGGCCCTGCCCCTGGGGTGCACTGAGACTGCGCTTGAGACTGAGACTGGGCATGGTGGTGCATGCCTGTAATTCCAGCACTTGGGAGGCTGCAAACAGGAGGATCACTACAGATCTGATGTACACAGCGAAACCCTGTAGGCCCTGTCCTAAATAAACAAAACAAAACAAAAAAAACCCTCAACATTGTTTTTTGGAGTATAGAAAAGTAACAGAAATAAATCCTTAAATGAACTACAATGAAAAGAACTACAATAAAAATTTGCTTCAATTATTACCCCTAAACCAGTCTGCATACAACAGTATTTTTCATAACCCTATGTCACTTACACTGACAGTACATGTTCTTTGTTTTCCTGGTTTCTATAAAGGACATACTTGACATCTCTCTGGTGTTGCTATATTGTCAGTAAGTTCTTATTATATTATTCAATGTGTAGTTAATAGGAATATAAAATATCCATAAAATAAATTAGTAAATTCATAGTATGTACTGTTTAGAGCAAACATCAACATTTTTACATCACCTGTGCACTTCTTACAAAACTTAAAAGTCAACATCAGAAACAAATTGATAGTATTTTTCTATGTCATTATATGCTTGCACTATAGTGGAATGCATAGCTTTCCAACAAGCAGGTAAACCACAAGCTACTTAACAAGTTTCCTAAGTAGTTTGCACTCATTTTTCACTCTTAATAAATCTCATGATTTATTTTAATAGGCCAGTAATGCTAAATGAGTATTTTCTGTGTTCCAGGAACAATGAGAAGTTATTCACACACAATTTTCAGGGTAATTCTATGAAGTAGGGAATACCATCTAGCCACCAAAACCACAGCATGTATAGGCTAATTTAGCCACAGCCACACAATCAGTGGCTTTTGCAGCTGAGACATAATGCAGTGTTTAACCACTACACCCCTTATCTCTCCAGCGTTACATTGCATATAAAAGTATTGCATACTTTAAGGGTTATTTCTTTCTTTCTTTTTTTGTGGAACCAGGGATTGAACTCAGGCCCTTGCGCTTGCCAGGCAAGCCCTTATTCTACTGAGCCATCTCCCATGGCCCCTTTAAGGATTATTTCTGAAATTTAATTTATTTATTTGGCACAGTGCCTTGCTACACTGCTGCCAGGCAGGCACTTAGACCACTAAGCTATCTCCTTAGCCCCTGTATTTCTGAATTTTTGTGGGCTTCGTATAGTCTTGTGAACTAGATAATTTCATTGAAGAAAAATGGGAAAGAATAAAAACAAAAAATTCTTCATCATTTGAATTATACTGAAGTAAATTTCTCACACATTCCACTTTTTAAAAAATATTTTTTAAATTTTATTTTTATTATTATCTTTTTTATTTTTAGGGAAAGGTCTACAGGGTGTTCA